AACGGTGGAAGTCAGCCCAGGTGGACAAAGTTGAAGCGTCCTTAACGAGTCCGAGACCTCGGTACCAAGAAACACGCGTACGTCCTTTCTTGGCCCTAGCTTGGGATGTATCGACGGTTCTCATTCCTCAGTTGCACTCTTAGCAGTTCCGCTGCACCAACGCTCATGCTGCAAGGCTGGCTCGAATCCTGTGGAATGGAATGAAGAGAGTGAAAGCGCCTTTTCCAGGAGCTTGCAAGAAAAAACTGATCGCTCTTCCTGCGTACTGCAGAGTCTTGACTTCGAAAGACGCTCCTTGCGTTCAGGTGGATGCCTCTGGGATCTGTGGGGCCCATCGGTGCAGTGCTGCCTCAGGAGAACCAAGGAGAGCGAACGTCCAGTGCTTGTATCTCAGCAGGAAACTTCTCCCCCGTGAAACCGGTTACTCCACCATCGAGAAGGAGTGCTCTGCGCAATCAAGTGGGCATTGGACAGGCTATGCTACTACGCACTCGGGGACGGCGATTCGAGCCTACAGACTGACCATAGAGCCTTGATGTGGGATCAGACCATGAAAGCGACCGGAACGCCAGGGATGACTAGGTTGGTATCTTGAACTACAACCGTTCAAATTCTGTGTGTGGCCACAAAGCAGCGAAAGGAAAACGGTCACGCGGACTACCTGTCAAGGCTGCCAAACATCGTTGATGCAGGAGAGGAGGGTGGTAATGTGAAGAAGAAGCCTTCATCACAATTGGCATAGGGGCATGGTAAAAGGCACACTGAGGGAAACACATTAATAACTTAGCTGGACATTGATAAAATAAAACCCAAGTCATTGTTTGTTCAAAACAGATTTATTGGAAGTCATATACAAGTAACCTGCTTACCCTCTCCTTCAAGGTTGTGAAGGCCAAACAGAGCAACAGAAAGAAGCAGCCTTAAGTAGAGGCTCAATCAGTGGGAACACCTGTGCTCAATTGGAGCATACCATGTAGTGCAAGTATAAAAATGTTATTGTTTAAGGCTTCTGTGGTCAGAAAGATATAATATGTTGAACATTTTGATTTGTTGTGTTTGGGTAATTTGCCTTGCATTGTGAATGTGTTTGTAGATTAGAATGACATTGGTTAGGGGTATAAATAGTGGATTGTCCTATGGGGAGGGGCTTAACATGTATAAAACCCTGGCCACAAGTGTTTTGGGAGTGAGTCTGACGGTGGCTGTAGAGCAGAGAGGTACCAATCCTATGTCCTCGACCTGTACAGATATATTGAGATTTTCTTTATGTAAATCCTTGTGACTTTGTGTTTTTCAGCATTGTTGGCTGTTAATAGAAGCACCTAAGGACCATTTTTTGTGACTCTAGCCAGCTTATTTAATCCCTAGTTTTTTTACATCAACATTTTTGTAACAAACTATAACAAGAGGATAGTTCTGTGGTAATGTATCCCGAGACGTGGGTCCAACTGGTGCAAATATGAAAGGCGTTTCATTTCATATGAAAACTTTTGAATGAATAATATTTGCATTTCAATCATCTTCTTATATGTTTATGACTCTTTCAAGCCACCCAAACGTCACTTAGAGAATCAAGGGAAAAGGACCAAAACTGAGTCTACATTATTTTGTAATTCAATGCCAACATTTCCCCTTTTTTTCAGTGAATGTTGTCAAATTTTTACTGAATTCAAAATCAACTTGCTGCACACAAAGGGAAACATGCACCTGTAGTAACATGGCGGCCTTTCAGCAACCTAATAGCACTATTAATCACAATTGCGTGATGATTTCAGAAATAAGATAAGAGGCTTTAAACTCATTGTACATTTCCCCTCTGTGGGACGAATAAAGGTATTCGGATTCTGAATGGGTCCAATCCAGACTGAACATCACAAGCGCCTCATTTCTGTCTTGCTTCTACATCTTAAACTTGTTTTCTTGCCTCCAGTGATGTTCAGACTTCCAGAGCAGGAGAGCCAGCTTCAGGAGGAGCTGCAGTACGTGGAGCTGCCTCAGGAACAGGCTCAGGCGCTTCTGCAGGAGATGAGAAACGAGGCTCAAAGACTGCTGCCCCCCAGCCTCAAACAGGAGAAGAAACCCCGACTTCACAGGAAAAGACCCCACCCTCATAGGCCTGCAGCTTCACATAGACTTCAGTCAACTGGATTTTATGGTCAGCATTAAATATGTTCAGCAGCATGTTGGGAGACTTGATATTTTAAGATGTTAGTTGAATTCTTTTTGATCTTTGATGTAGGATGGAACCGGACAAGACCCGATATGCAGCCTTGGAGTCAGCAGCCGAGATATGTGAGTGTTATTAGGCTGTAATTCCTATGCCTTGTCGTTAGCTTAACTGCACTTTTAAGGCAGAGTTTGGATGTTTTGGAAGTAGGGTTGTTTGAGTTAATTATCTATTATACTGTTACCTACAGTTGTAGACCAATGTTTTGAGGTATTATATTATATGAGGTGTTAGCTGAAAGATGATAAGTAACAGCAACCCTAACCTGATTTCAGAACGTAAACTAAATCATTTCATGTTATTTACATTACCTTTCAGTGGAGTGGGCCTTATCAGCAGCAGGGCTCCTATTACAGAGACAGCGGATATGGAGGTTACTGCTGAAGAAACCTGGAGCAAGAGGAAACAGAGGCCGATGCACTACAAGTGTTTACACGGACAATTAGGGATGTCATTTGAATAAAAAGAAAAAGGGCTAAATACACCAGCAAATTATATTATACACAATACTTCAGATTACAGTACACATTGCACTCGGTGCTTTGACAAATCAAGGATAATCAGTGTTGTAGCATTTTATAATTTTATTATTGACAACCAGGTCACTTTTTAGGAGGTTTTATTGAAAATATTCTAAAAACATTGTGCTTTTTAAAAAAACAACTGTATTTTGCACCTTTTTTAACACTAGTGTTGTTCAGAGAGTGCCTTAAGTCAGAGTAACAATAAATACTCTAAAAGGTTTGTTTTTTTGATGTGTACACTTAATCATCTGGATCTCTTTTCCGATGCGATCGGCTGAGCATCAGGTTGTCTCTGTCCTCGCTCACTGTCAGGCCTCACCGTCTGATACAGCAGCACGGCTCCTTTAGCTGAAGGACACAGCTCCGCCCACAGAGGGCTGCTGATGTCCAGCTGCAACACTTCCTGCACATTCAAGGGAACAAAATGCATTTCTTTGTATCTTGGTCATGTTCTCTACTTTCCTCCAAAGGAATCTGCCAAAAGGAGTTTCCCTGCAGATAACTAAGTATATCTGTCACTATAGATTACTCACAGTTCTGCCGAGGAAGACAATATCTGTGGACTCATGGGCCTCCGCTCCTCCTTTCCAGTACAACTTTCTTACTTCATCAGATGTCAACGAGCAACTGAGGACACACACATTTCACATTATAAAACAATTCGAGGCACACTTCCATCATATCAAATCAGTACTGAAGGTATGTGTACCTGACGTAGAACTCAGCACTAGGTCTGCCTGCGCTGGTGTGATTCAGAGCGACGCCCATCAGGACCGGCTCTCCGAGGGAGCTCAGAGGAATATTCACCTGTGGACACACAAAAAGAGAAGTCTGATATATTTCAGCCTCTCTTTAGTTTGGTCTGTTTCATGCCACTTTGGACATACAAACTTTATTTGTATTCGATTAGGTCAGCTCGAGTTTTATCAATGAAGTAACTAAACATTAACTTGACATGAAATCAGTTTACAGTGGATTCTGTTCCCACCTCGTCTCTGATCTCGGCGCACACAGACGAGAACAGCTCTGAGACGACGGGCCTCTGCTGCATCATATCCACGCTGATCTGCTCCTCACACACCGCCTGGCCCAGCCGCTCACACACTACCTGAGGGGGGGGGGGGGGGCAGCAGCCGTAAGAAAACATGTCACCATTACTGAACCAGACTGCTAGGCACATGGGTCCAAACTGTCCGGGCACCTTCACCTGCAAAATGTCCCTCAAGGAGACCAAACCAAAAAAAAGTGACAAAACTACTAAGAGCAGCAGCTCGACCAAAAACAGATACAAAATACTTTGGAAAACGTAAAAAAAAGAACCACAAAGAGACACAAAATTACCAAAAAGGGACCCTAAAAAGCCAAATAGACACAAAATGTCCACAGAAAATCCAAACCACCATAAAGACACAAAGCAACTATTAAGGGACAAAGAAATACCACAAATGACTATGCACACATGTTCTGTTAAACACCTGCACTTTTGAAAGCACATCCATAACATTCATCTGTTTGCAACTTACAAATTATGTATCTAATATATCATATTCCAATTACTTGTATATAGACTCTCCTTGCACTATTCTATTTCATTTGTATGTACTATTTTAACTATTTTAACTGTGTTATTGTGTTGCACTGTTGGAGGAGCCTGTGACCTAAGACTTTCATTGACATATCTACACTGTAGCTAGGCACAAATGACAATAAAAGCCTTGAAACTTGAACCAAAGAGACCCAAAACAACCGTTGTCTCATAATGTTCCCATCACCAACATATCTAAAAGACCCTGCACAGTATCTTCTTCACCTTCGGCTCTGGGTGCCCCCCGGGGATGTCCAGCAGTCCCACGGCCTCCGCCACCTTCTGGCTCCTCCTGATCAGCACCACCTGTCCGTCGGCTGTACACAGCACCCCGCCCACGCCCAGAGGCTGAGCCAGCAGCGCCAGAGCATCCCCGAACTCCGCCTCTCCGTGCTGACGCAGCTCTGCCACCCGACACGACCAGTTGGTTCCCAGGTAGTCTTTGTAGCATGTGAGGCCGAGTCTCAGAGTGAGGAGGGGCTCGGGGTCATCTGCGTTTTTATTGAACGTGGAGGAAGCTGGTGACAGTGCACTGACACTATCTGCACTTTCTACCTGATTCACAGCTCTGCTCCTTCTGTCCAAACTGCTCTGAGCTGCGTCATGCAGTGAATGTGTGATACATGACTTCTCCATTCTCTGTGTGCTGTGTGGTGTATCACCCTGCTGCTCCTCTGCTCGGTCTGAGGAGGGGGTGTGGGGGGGAGGAGTGCAGGCTGGGTGAGAAACAGAGGACGATGACAAGCAGAAAGAGTGGAGTCTGAATTTTGACCCGTTGAAAAGCCACGGCTCTTTGGACACTCGCTCTGTCCACACCTCCTCTATGTGACGATCCACAGCCGGATCCGTCTGCCTGTTGAATCTGAGAAGAGGAAGAGACAGAAAAAACAAGTTAGCATTAAAGTTACTGCAGTAATCCTTTCGCCCATTAACAAACTACTATATTTAAGGATAAGAATGGTGTTATCCATCTTGTTTCATTATTGTCAACAAATCCCATCACAATTTTTTACCATTTTACCAAAATATGAATCCCTTTATCTTTGCACCATTATGTTGTTTAGTATGTTGTTATGCAATTGTGTCTAAAGGACATTTCAAAATGGCCGTGAACTGAGTTGCCACACACTTTTGCTCAGTTTTTGATCTGATAACTGAAGACAGATATCAGAGGACAAGGTCCTAAAAATGTGAGGTATAAATGTTGCTTGTAACACAAATAAAAAGTACTTTCCTGACAGATTCTGTCAGACAAAAACCACGCTCATGCTCAAAGAATTTTATTAACACTAACTATACAACTCAACAATATATATAACATAAGTCTAGTCGTTTTTATACATTTGAATGCTAAATTGTTATAAATATACCTTCAAGAAGAGAGGCCATATCATTATATTACTCAGTACACATTTAAGAGTATTGTGTTATGATGCTCGTACCTTTCAGAAAGCTCCACCTGTACCTGGGCTTGCAGCAGACCCCTCCAGGCGGCACAGTGCAGCAGCAGAGACACCTGCGAGTCTGTCATCTCTCACTGTGGAGTATCATTGAAGTCCTCACTTTTCTATTTACTCTCAGTGCTGCAGCTCTGCAAGTGTTTTTAAATGTTAATATTTCTATTAAGGAAACAAAATCCACAGAAAAGTAAGAGAAGTCGTTGATAAGCAAAGAGATGAATCTGAGAACATTGAATAACTGTGTTCAGGGGCCTCATTTATAAAAAGGGATATACGCTCAAAAAGTGGCGTACGGCAGTTTCTACGCAATGTTTGCGATTTATAAAATACTAACTTGACGGGAAAACGTGCGGTCCTCCACGCAAACTCTAACCCATGCGTACGCACTAAGCACAAAAACGGGAGACACGAGGAGAAACTGCGACACCGTTGGCAGAAGGAAGAATGGAGAGAAATATGAGGGAAATAATCATGTTTTATGCCGTTTTGCCATAAGTCACTCATAAAACACAGGAGGTATGGAAACTAAGAACACCACATGTGGTAAATTGTACAGCTAATATAACACAACACATTAGTTGTATATATAGAGTTGCTGCGGAGGGGGGGTTGAGATGCACAGGCTGCAGTGGAGATGCTGCGCACAGCTGATCGGCAGCTGGAACACAAACCACCAAATACAAAAACATAATTCAGATCCAGTCGTCATGACTCCACTCCGGAGGGATTCCCCGATCATTTCTTACAGTTTCTCATCAAGGGGGGGTCTCCTGTCCCCGGTACAAACACACTGCCTGAGGAAGGCTATGTATATTTTTTTTGTCATTAACCTTTTTCAGACCACTTATTTTCATTTATTTTGGTGACCATCCGACCACCATGTTGCTACTCTGGTTCAAACTGCATCCACCAAACAATATGATTTATCTCCACCTCCCCAAAATAACCAAACTCTGACACGGTGTGAGATGTCTTTTTTAGTTGTTCTGTCGTCATTTCCTGCTATCTTCTTCATAAAGTCAGTCAAAATGAATGAATGAATGGGCGTTTCTTTGTCTATTTATAGGCAAATATGGGCGTTACGTGATGCCCGCAAAAGCTGCACCGCATTTCGAGTCGATTGTGATTTATAAAGGGGAACCGGCGTAGGAAGTGCTGTAAGCACTTTCCTCGCCGGTACGCAATGTTTGGTGAATCGGAAAATGTCTGTAACCTATTTTTTGGATTTCTACTACGTAAGCAACCTTCCCACGTGAATCCTACGCACGGCGTTATACATGAAGCCCCTGGTCAGGATGTTTGCTTCTTACTGCTCCTCCCTCCCCTTTTCATACACATTCAGACACGCCAAGAATACACACACAATCACTGATTAAAGCTGAAGTTATTTTGATCACTCATAAACGTTGTATTATTCTGCACAGAATTATCAAAGAAGTCGGGGAGACTTGTTGAACATCATTTGCAGTTATTTCAATTTTCAATCTTTGATTTGATCAAAGATGTTACCCTCCGGTATCATTTGATTGGACTACGCAAATTAGTCATTCGAGACAAAAATGTCCACTGCAAAAGACTTTGATAAAAACATTTATATTAAAAGGGTTTTTTTCACAACTTTTTTGGTCAATCTTTAAAGCAACTTCCGCGCCTAATAGGAAAATACCGAGAAATGTAAATCATTTTTCATGGATTTAACCCTTTAAAGCTCCCTCCATTTTGAAAACATGAAACCGTGGTTTTTCATGATGAAAAACAGAGAAAAATTATATTTTTCCAAAAAAATATCATATCTGGGTAACTGGCCTTTTTTTTTTTATAACAGTCTTGGATATGTCAAAGGATTAGCAGCAAAATTGATTTTTTTGCATTATTAGTTTTTGCCACAAAATCAGATTTGCACAAAGAAGTTACTATATTAATCATTCGCGGACAAAAATGTCCACTTTCCAAAAACTTGCCTAAAATGGACAGATAATATTTTTTTAAAACCTTTTTTGGGGTGCTTTCGCATCAACTTCAGTCCTGATCAAAAATACCAAATGTTAAATTATTTCAGGATTTTAACCCTTGAACTGCCAGTTTTGAAAAACATGAATTGGCGTTTTCTATGAAAAACATGCCAAACAAAAAGCGCAGTTATTTTTCCATATAATGAATGTTGGGGGTCGCTTTTTTTTTTATACAGTCTTGGATACTGTCAGAAGATGAGCAACAACATTTATTTTGGGGATTTGCACAGAATCGAGATTAAACAAAAAACTCACTTAGCCACTCGTGTTCCCATCCACTCCCATTATAACATCTTTTGAGTCTCCCCGCCCATACCGGCTATAAAATCATGCATCTCTTGTAATCTCAGGTTCTTTATATTGGAGAACGATAGTTCAACTTGCCTTTTTATTCTCGTATTTCATCCAGATGTGAATTTAACACCCTTGAATTAATGCTTGTAATTGTCTTGGTTTCTTTGCCTGGGTTGTATAACTGGGGCCCTGACAGCCATTGGAACTACCATGTATGAACACTGAATACTGATGTAGGTCGTGGTTGCGTGATGGATGTGGAAGGAGTGTATCAGCTGAGAAATGTGTGTGTCGTGGGTGTGGTGTGTTCGGTGTTGGTGTGGTGTTGTGTGGTGTGTGTGTGTGTGTGTGTGGTGGTGCTGGTGTGGTCGCTCTGAAGGTACAGCTGTGCTGTGTGTACAGAGACAGACCAAATATCAGCCGTAGCTTTGGTTTACAGCAACGTCGCAGTTTTCGCCTCACGTATCTTTCTTTCGTTTCTCTCTTTTTCTCTCACTCCCTCATCCCAAGATCATACATCATCGTGTACATATTAAGCAACCCCTCTATACCTTGTGTGTGTGTGAGTGATCTGCGTGTGTGAGATATGAGAGCCAGGAGTACAGTGTTCTCTCCATCGGCGTGTCTTGTGTTTTCATTGGTGCTGTTTCCATTGTGTCTTACGAGGTAAAACAGAATGTCATGATCTTGACCCAGCTTTGAGCCTCGATGTTGTTGAATTGTTTGGAACTTCAAAGTTCCTTTGATAACTGTCCCCTTTAGCAAACAGACATCACTTCGGATACACGTAAACTGCCTGAGGAGGGTAAATAAAAACACCTGGCTGCCAAAGGCCAAGCTTCAAATATGTGGTAGTTTGGCTGGGTGGTCATGGGTTCATCCTGCTGATACCAACAAGCTGAAGATGTAAGGAGGGAGCTCTGTCGGGACAACCAGGTCTCGATGCAGCCCCGGTAACGTTCAGGCTGGCAGGACTCATCCTTTCTGAAACAGAAACACCCTCGAGAAGGAGAATCCTGGTGTGGATGCTGCCGTGTGCTTGACCCAGGGATGTCACGCACAGAAGATAAAGACACTTTTTGCCTAAACGAGCTTCACTCTTATCGGATGGGGGCAGAGAAGAAGGAAAATCTGCCCCGAATCCCACGTTGATACAGAGGACCATCTATGAGGTCCTTTGCTCGAGGAGGTTGAGGAGCTGGCGTGAGGAGCTCTTGAGGAGCCTGCAGACGGAGCTGCTGCAGGACACAACCACAGATGGTGATGGGGTTGAGATGTATGAAGGACTACAACACCGGTTACGCATGTGGACAAAACGCCTCGTCATGGTCAACTTAAAGTGCTTAGTGATCCCCCTCCTAATCACACGGACAAAGGGGGATGATATGCACAAGACGTTGGCGCGCCCCAGGAGGTAACA